TATAGATGTGACGCCAGAGATATGTTGGAAGCTTGGCTCCGCTGCACATGGCAAGAGCTTTTATTTTGATTATACCTCCCGAGAGTTCAGCGCCTCCGTTTTGGTCTTGGGTATGAGGTAAAGAAGGCTTGGTTCGGATGTGATTGTCTTTGATGAAGTCCTTAATGTCCTTTGACTTGGTGAACTCATTGTCTGCTTTTATGCCTTCAATATTGATCTGGAACTGTATTTTCAGTATACCGACAATGCTTTAAAGGGCGTTAATTATATGTTCTGTAGTTCTCCTTTTCAGGAAGTATGCCCACACGTATCCAGAGTATCTGTAAGTGACAAACATAATACTTTAGTAGCCATTAGAGTCCTTCTCAAGATCAAGGAAATTTATAGACAGGATGCTACCTGGCTTGGTTAATGGTCGCCTAGGTGTTCTGCGTGTCTGTTTCTTAATTTTGGCCTTGCCACACCCGTCACACTGAGCAGTAGAGGGACCCTTGATTCTCACTCCTCTAGCATGCTTTGTAATCTGAGCAATTACTTCAGGGCCAGGATGCCCTAGTCGCCAGTGCCAGAGGTTCTCATCACCCTTGTTTGGAGCTCTTTCTGTTTTGGAGTTGATCATCCTCCTTTGCAGGGCAAAGGACGCTTTGGTTTTGCCAAGGGGTATGTCTTCCACAACCCATTGCCCAAACTTATCCGTGAGTTTGATCACCAATAAATTATCCTTTTGTCTGACACAGTTATTAGGAGGTTTGTTGTCCTAGTAGTATCCAAGCTTTTTGAGTTGTCATAAAGATACAATATTTGTCGCAAATCCTTCACAGAAGGCGACATTCCATAGTGTCAAGATGAATGGTTCCAGTGAGTTATGAGCAGTGATGTCTACTTCTCCGTATCCTAGGATTGGTATGAAGGTGTCTCCTGTATATACTCCATCACCTATTAGGGCTCTGTGAAAGTTATTGAAGCGAGTGATAACGTTGAAGATATGTAAGGTTGTGCCAGAGTTGAGGATTGACGAATTGAATAGGGGGTAAGGGGCAGTTGCGTAAGAGGACTTTGTATTATTTGCTAAGTAAGATGCTGCTGTCTTTTTTGTGTGTGTTGGCACATGTTGTACTCTTTCACCCCTTTCCATGAGTCAATCACGCGGTGTCTGTCTCTTGGAAATTTGTGCCACTTCCTCAGATAGATTGTTGTCCCTTTCAAGCAGTATCTTGACCATTTGCTCCATACCGTGGTGGACTTTCCATCCATTTGGTCGCTTGTTTAGAAAGAGGTAAAAGCACTCTGTGAAGTAGTGCCTTTTATAATAGCATCCCTTGCATGCTTGAGTGGTTAAGGGAGCTTCTTTATCGTCTTGGTCCTTTTTGTTAGAAGCTCTCTGACTTCCTCCTCTGAAACCTCCTCTTGATCCACCTCTTGAGCCCCCTTGCTGTCTCTGGTTGTTATTTCCTCTACTGCGGCCTCTGCCTCTTGCGTCTGATTGTTCTTGAGGATGCTCCTTTTCTCTCTTATCTCTAATTAAGTCTCTTATTAAGTCTCTTATATTGTCTGGCTGTTCTCCATGAAGGGCTGGGAAACCCGCTTTCTATCCCTTCAAAGAATTGGTAATGGCGCGCGTTGTTATCCAGTCGTCGTGGAGGTCAGAGGCTATCTGGGAGTATGAAATACTGCCTTCAAGCACTCTTCCTTCTTATTTGCCCTGGCTTGAGAAGACTAATTGGAGTTCATCAAGGCGACAGCAACTATGAAGTCATTAAACCAGGTTACTGGAGATAGAGCTTCAGGGACCCTGGCTTTCATAGCCCTGGCCATAACCAATTCCCACTCTTTAATCCAGCTGACAAAATCCTTCTCTTTCTTCTTTTGTACCCCCTTGTTGACCGTTGATATAATGGCACGGTAATTGACTTGGGCCTGGTGCATGATATTCTCACTATAGATGGCTCCTTCAGTTGCGAGCTCTTGGTACCATTGGTGTGACGGCCTGCACAGACCTTCCCACATGACAAGCGGATACTTCCCAATAGGGGAAGGATCTGACCAGAAGATCCCCTTGAAGGGGCAACCTCCCACTGTACCTATCTCTCTCTCTCTCTTCCTTTCCTCTCTAGTCTTGATATTCTCGTTAATAGAGTAATAGCTGCTTGCTGCCGGCCATATCCGAGCTCCTCAGTATGCTCGCCGTGACAATTGGCGGAGGCTTCGTTCAAGGAGTAGTTTGGTCTCTTGTATAGTAGGATCGACAGTTTCGAGAGTCCACTTGGTAAGTTCGGATATAGAGGTCTTGGTTCGCTGATAGATCTTGTCTTTGTGCTCGAATAGGGCGACGTTCATCTTGAAGTCAGCTGCTCCCTTTGTTATAAGGTGTGAAGCGAGGACTCGTTCCTGAGAGATTTTAAACCGTTCTATATTAAAAGAGGAAGAGAAGAAGATCTCTGGGAGAGAAGCCCCCATATATGTGTACAGGTGTGCCATCAGGGTGACTAGATAATCATACGATAATGGCGCCAGCTGAATGCCCTGAAGCTAAGCCCATTAGAGCATTCAGCCCCGAAAGCCTCAGCCTTGTATGATATCCAACAGTTCCTCCTCCACTGCTATTTGAGCAGTTCTGGTAGACTTCTTTGAATACTCTTCTGATAGGATATCCGGAGGCGTTGGTGCTGTTGGCCATAGAGTAGTTACCCCTGGCTCGATATGTTGCCAGATGCCAAGTGCTTCAGCCTTTTTCTAGAATTGGAGTCCCCAGCTGACAAAGTCCTTTTGAGACCGATAGTACGCAGTTGCGTTCTGGGTGGGAACTGTGATATTCATCTTGAAATGGTTGTATGATATGTGTATTCGAAATATGGATGCTGGTTGCGTAGATTCAATGAGACTCTTAATTGCTGAATACACAGATGTTGATTAATCCTATTGATTGTTCTGCCCTGTGTGTAGAGATTGATTATCTGTCTTCTTGGTGCGTCAGATGCCCTGTGCGTCTCTGCCCCACTGGAGATCTTCCGGTGTCTATCTCCTCTCCTCCCTTGATGTTACAACTACTAACTGGATGTGCGCATAGAGACTTGCCTCCAAATATCCTTCTCTATCAAACCGAATCCACGCGACGCGTTACCTACGGACCTGCCCTCCGACACCCTCGATACTACCGTCATCTACGTTACATCCAAAATTCCGCCACTGTTCAATATGGATACTGCTAGCTATCAAACGGCAAGAGTTAAGGGCGCCGCTTTGGCTTGATGTTTGAGCTGTGGTAAGAAGTACGACACAGCACGTAGCCCTCAATAGCATCATGACACGCGTCACCTATGCCAGATTGGACGAGCGTCGATGGATGCGCAAACAGCCGACCACCATAACTGGATAGATCCGGCAGAGTTGATAGGTACTTGTCCATACTTTGTCAGACAACAAGGAAGACCTTGCGCCGATGCAGCACCGCGCCTTGTAGACGACCCTCGCGTTTTTTTAGTGCATGGGAACAGGCGTTTGCGCGTCTCTCTGCGACACCGACGTTCTGCGACGGGTGCTGTTCAGGATAGGTATGGGCATGTGTTGGATTAAAGGTACGCCTAGAAGGCACCTTGACAGGTAGACAACGGAACCTAGTTGTTCCGTCCTGATCCAGCCCCCTCTGGCACAAGACTGCCACGGTCGCACAAGGACACTCTAGACAGACGGAATACACACACACTTCACTCTGACGATTGGCTCAAATCTGACAGATGGTAACAACAAACTGCTCGCAGTTAGCAACTAGTATTATGGCCGAGCAATATTAAGGCTGCTTTTAGGGGGTTGGCTCCAAGCTCACCCATAGGGTATGCGACAGATATCCATGGCAACATATCGACACGCCCGCCGAACGTTTCAATAATGCTCGGCCGTACATTGGCCACGACTGTGTTGTCCAGGGCGTACAAGAAAGTCGAAGAGAGAATAGCAATAACCACAATGAACCAAGCGATTCCGGTCACTTTGCGCTGGACCTGGCCGACGACCGAGCGATCATCCTGTGGGAGGTTGGCCTCGTGCTCATGCTTCTCCCCGGTGGGTGAATGTGGCTCTCTGCCATCACTCTAAGCGACGAGGAGGACATGTCATGCAAAGATGTCGTGGAATGAAACAGAGACTGGAGCTGCCCATCGAAGGGGACTCGTGAGCTTGACCGATGAGGGTGATGGCGGAGCTACATCAAGTCATTTGCCTAGTAGAGCAACACACAGTAAGGCCATGGAGCAAAGACACGACGGTTGGGGGGTGGCCCTCAGACCCGAAAAAGAGCGGCTCTGCTACAACTCTCCACCATGGGCTGTGCTGTGGTGGTGCATTCAGCATTCCGGGACGGGGCAGGACAGGGCAGGGCAGGGCAGGAGGTTTGGTCGTGACAAGCGCCCTGACAACCAACTGCTTGCCAGCATGCATTGATGTCACCCAATTAATATAAGACAATGGCAAGGCCGATGCACTCCAAAACACCAACGGCGCAGGCGAAGGCAGGCAGGATACTACTGTACTTCTTACGGTACCTCTTGCATGTTGGTATCTTGATGATGAGCAAGACACCGATCGCCATTTCAGGCCGCCTCTTACTGATATCTGACAAGAGGCTACGTACCTGGAGCAATCGGGGGGGGGGGGGGGGGGGGGGCAGGATCAAGCAGGGGGGCGCCAGGATACTCCGCGTCTGCATGCAATCTTCCCCGTGCCGCTGTTGCATGCCGTACTTCTTTTGCCGAGCGATCTCTTCATCCTTCCGCTTTACTGGCACTTTGCAAGAACAGCCCATTCAAGGACGTCACATCGGTAGGCCCGTCAAAGGCAGGCTAGGTAGGCTGTGGCCGACATTTTGTCCCATGCATGATGCAGGTATGCTACTTATGGTATCGCGAGCCGGATTAATTCAAGGCAACCAACCAGGTTCGACTGCGGCTCCCACTTCACTTCCTCCATCTTCTGTCCTCTCCATTGACCTGCTCCAAGAGGGCAACCTATCGATAGCCAGCGATGATATTCACAATCCCGACGATTTCCGACTTGGCCATCTTCGAGCTTGCTTCCTGCCAGGTTACCTCGTCCAATGGCCCGGTGAGTGCCGTCAGCTTACGGCCCAGGCTGTAGGCTGTTTCTTCTTCCTCGCTGAGGCCCTGAGGCGTCCTACCAGCCAGCCCTTCGTCATACTGATTCTCTGTGAGGCCATCTCGTGCCCCTACTGCACGATGACAATACACAATGTAGGGGGCATCCAGAATTGAGCACAAGCCCAGAATAGCCAGCTCCCGATTACGCGGCTTCAGAATAGCTGGTTCGTAGCCTGCCTTGGCCATTGAAAAAAACTGCCTTGCCATCACAGGCGAGTAGCTTTCCGTTTTGGTCAGTGACATGGTACAAACTGGAAGGAGGCGTACTCATGTAAGTGACTTACCAGAGCGGTGCATAGCATCCTATCAGAGACCGACCATCCTCCTCAATCCATTGGAACGGGGGAGGACCGCCATGCATGACGGTCAGCGCATCCTCCATAGTCTTTCGGGCAAGCATCGGATGAGGAGCCTCGTCAATAGGAAACCGGGGAGTCGCCATGCCGGTCAATGTTATGGGCTGATGGAAGATGGGGAGGAGGTGTGGGTAGCTAAGAATGTGAGCAATTGACTGCGTACACGAGGACTGAAAGTTTCGTTAAATACTGCAAATGAGTCACTAGCTGTTGGAACCAATAATACAACTGTTCCCTTCGGCTTCATAATGCATTATCTCGGGGTCGGCTAAAAGGCAGCTTACCACACCTCGACACGCTTTCACCGGTGTGCATGCACGAATGGTGTGTGTGGCACAGGCCGTGCCGGGACATCTTCGTTGTCTTCGAGGGAGTACGCCCTGGTCTGGGGCAATTGCAGTCCCCAGCTCTCGTCCCACGTCTCATGTCAAGCCCAGTCGCCGCCGCTGCCCACGCCCAACCCCCTTTTCCCCATCCGATGGGGCCTACGTTCATCAGGCTCCCATACTAGAAAGTCGTTAACAGAGAGCTGTAAACGAAACCTTTCCAAGTATTGAGCCTTGGGATACAGTATCAACCATGGAGCAACCTGCGAGCCCACTGAACATTGTGATAGTGAGTATTGCCAGAACACATGTATCTGGAAAACCTAGTAACTGGAGCTTGATATAGGTTGGTGGCTCCTTGGCCGGCCTGATGTGCGGGATTGCTCTGAAGCATGCAGGCCACACCGTGACTATTCTTGAGAAAGACGACAACGAACGACAGAGCCATATGGCAGGCGTGTGTCTAGGATTGGACGCCAAGGTCATCCTTTCTCGCCATGACCGCATCATCCAAGAGCGTCCCACGGTAGAGTTCTCCCACAAGTCGACTAGAGTACAGGCTCTCAAGAACGATGGGACATGCCAGGTTTACGTCAATGGGCGTCGCGACATTACCAGCTGGGATACGTTGTATCTTCGCCTTCGGTCATGCTTTGATGCCTAAACTAGCTCCTATTATCCATCGCCTCCGAGACCGAGATCAACGGACGGCACGGTCGCATACAAGTACCAGCAAGAGGTCTTGGGCCTTGAAAGAGCCGATGATGCTCAGATGGCCTTGACATTTATCGATGGCGAAACCCAGCAAACATCACGTATACTGGCAGACTTCGTCATTGGCGCCGATGGGCCCGACTCATTGATACGGTCGAAGTATCTGCCCAACGTACAGCGCCGCTACGTAGGATACGTAGCTTGGCGTGGGACAGTGCCTGAGAGCGAGATATCGCCAGCGACGCGCAGCATATTCCAACGGAGCGTCACGGTACACATGATGGATCAACAGCACTGTGTCATGTATACCATTCCGGGGTCTAAAGGAGCTCTGGCTCCTGGCGAGAGGCTTCTCAACTTCCTGTGGTACACGAACGAAACCCCACAGGATTTGGAGCTGATCATGACTGGCATCGATGGATATCGCCACCATAATATTGTTCCGGCTGGACGTGTCCGCCCTGACGTCTGGAATGCACGCCTCGATCGGGCCAAAGCTTTGCCCCTAGCCACAGAGTTCCTCGAAGTGATCATGAAGATCCGGCAGCCATTTATCCAGCGAATCACGGAATTCTGTTCACCCAGCACGGTGTTTGAAGACGGTAGAGTCTTACCCGTTGGTGACTCTGTGTCTCTTTTCCGTCCGCATACAGCCTTCAGCTGTACTCAAGCTGCATTCCATTCGGAGATGGTCGAGGCTTATATAGGAGGAGCGATGACCTCAGTGCAATGTGAGGAGAAGATGGTTCGATATTCCTACCTCCATTATACTCAAGTGCTTGGTGGGGAAAGTTCTACCAAGAGCGTCTCCTTGTTGCGCTTGCTTCTGGTCTTCAGTACTGGATTTATTGTGGCCTTGACCAGATCAAGTCCTGGTGGAAAGGGCAGGAGCCCCTGCTGAGGACATCTCATAGTATCACAGAAGAGTAGGTATGACCACATGCGGTGACATACGACACGAGATCAAGGCCAATAGTGCCCGTTCGTTGAGCTGGTTTGGGGCCTCTTACATAAGCTGTAACTCTAAACCAACCCTATCTGATCGATCTACATCAATACATCAATCGCGCCATAAGACAGTCGGCAGAAGAGCCGGCAGAAACGAAACCAAATTGTGCACAGGGCGATCTGACACTGCCTGACATGAAAGGCGTCAATTACAACGTTACCGGGCAGGAAATCCAGTGTAGGCTGGCTCTAGATGGGTACTTAGTACCTACCTTATTGAAGGTGGAAGCTCTAGTCGACACAGTGGCCTCCAAAGGCCCGATGACCTGAGTGAAGAACTGAGGACTCGGAAACGCCAAACCGCAATCCAGCAGGCGCCTGCCAGCCTGCCTCCAAGACCTACCTCATGTACCTACCTCCTCCAAGTACTACCATCAACCCCCATAATCGCCCCCGTATATTGCACCACCTAATAGCATGCCATGGTCACACGGATTCATACTACCGTAACCATCAGATGCCACGACGCCTCCGCCCCTACGTAGTATGCATCGGCCTGAAGTCGGGCGGTCTTGTTTGAAGCAGGCAGGCATACATGAGTACGGCGTATACCAGCCTTTCATCAATGCTAAGGTAACTTCTCACGTCCGCCAGCCGTACTTAGTTCAGTAAGTACTTCGCAGACCGTGTGTCGGCATACATCACTACCTTCTGCTACTACCTACTACCACCACCCCCTTCTTCCATGGACCATACCATACCCCTTACCTTGATCATTCGAACGACGCCATGTAGGTAAGCTGTATGCATGTGGACATGCGGGGTACCTACCTACTGGCCAGCCATGGGGGTTTGACGGTTCGCGCACCAACAGCTTCCAACCCCGGGCGCTTCGTCTCGTACCTAGGTATCCACGCGAATGGCCAACACGTTTGTTACACAGCAGCGAGGGGCAACGCGTGCACTCCCTCGTGTTAACTACCATGCGCGCTTGGCATCTCTGCCTGTAAGCTTCAAGTTCCCCATCTACTCAAATTGAGCACAAGTCCTGGCTCTGAAGATTGCACATCGTCTCCTATGGTCACTGTGACTGACCTTCAGAGCACTACCTCGACATCCGCACCGACTACCTCTCAGCAAGAGCCCCAATCCAATACCTCGCAATTAGCCCCATAGCATCCGTTTGTCCTTGCGGATATATTGTCATCCACCATGGGACTGTACACTGAGCTTCCACAGGACGTTCAGGAGGTTGATGTGATTGTAGCCGGAGGTAAGTTTCAGCTACTTGGCCAGCATACTGAAGCGTACTGAAAGCGACGACTAGGCGGTACCGCCGGCTGCATCGTCGCGGCCAGACTGGCCGACGCAGATCCTGACCTCTCCATCCTCGTTATTGAGGAGGGTAGCGACAATCTGGGAAACCCAATGATCTCCCATCCAGCCTTCTGCTACACCCACGTGTCTCCTGGAGGCCAGACCACTAGGTTCTATAAAGGTATTAAGGAACCTAATGTTGCTGGCAGAGAGATCAATGTCCCCTCTGGAGCCATTCTTGGCGGCGGCTCTGCCGTGAACATGATGATGTATACACGAGGGCAGCGGTCAGACTAGGACGCTTGGCAGACTCATGGCTGGTCAGCTGATGACATGCTTTACTATCTGAAGAAGGTATTCTGACATACAGCCTGACTGACACACAGAGCTGACTTTATCCTATAGTTTGAAACTTACCATGGCCTTGGGCAGCAAGCCCATCATGGCTACGATGGCCCAATCCATATATCAGATGGTAGGTTCAGGGCCACCAGGTCCACTGAGGACTTTATCGCAGCCGCCGGCCAGTTATTATGGCCAGAAATCGACGATTTGCAGAGCATAGAGACGAATAATGGAGTCCAGAGAGCCATGCCGTACGTCTCACCTCATAATGGTATACGACAAGACGTCGCCAATAGGTACCTTCGCCCGAGGCTCCAGGACGGCAAGCACCCTAATCTGTATGTTCTTATTGAAACTCAAGTTGTCCGGGTTCTTTTCGACGGACAACGGTCTTCTGGTGTGGTATGTCGACCGAACCCCCGAGTCCAACCAGAGAATACGGGTTCTCGCCTCATAAAGGCCAGGAAGATGGTGGTCGTTTCCTGTGGCGCCTTCGGAACACCACTGCTGTTAGAAAGATCGGGCATTGGCAAACCAGGAATCCTCAATCGGGCCGACGTGCCGCTCGTTACAGATCTGCCGGGCGTGGGTGAGCAATACCAGGATCACCATCTGCTTCTTTACCCGTACAAGACGAACCTTGACCCCGGGGAGACACTCGACGCGCTGGCCGGCGGCCGGGTTGACCCCGGAGAATTAATGAAGAACAACGACAGGATTCTGAGCTGGAACGCGCAGGACATCACCTGCAAGATCCGCCCCAGCGCGGCTGACGTCGCTTCTCTAGGGCCTGATTTCAAGACAGCCTGGGATCGGGACTTCAAGGACGTCCTGAGTAGACCGCTGGTCCTACTAGCCTTGCTCAATGTGTAAGATCACCTTTTATTTCTCTCCTTATGATTTCTCGTACATACATCATAATCCAACCCAGATGATCCGCTCAGCCACCTTGTCTCGCGCCATATACCCCTTTTCCCGAGTTGTGTAGCCAGGTCCTTCCCATGCAACCTACTGACAGCACCCCAAATCTCTCCAGCTTTCCAGGAGATCCAACTTCCGTCTCAGCCGGACAATACATCGCCGTATCCACATTTACTGTCTATCCTTACTCGCGTGGTCATATCCACATAAGCGGCCCCTTGCTGGAGGACGAGCCAGAGTTCGCCAGCGGCTTTTTTTCAGATGTCGCAGGGCTGGACATCAAAAAGCGTAAGTACACACAGCCCGTTTGATGCCCTAGGCTTGTATTCCAAAACCGGCATACTGTTTTTTACATCCCGTCACCTGCCCAAGTAACCCCTATCACATACCTGCATTCGTTGGTGCCCTGGGTTCTGGACCGAGTAGGCGGATACTGTGATGACTGACTGACATAACTGCGGTAGACGTATGGGCCTACAAGGCCCAGCGCGAGATAATCCGACGCATGAACTGCTACCGGGGCGAAGTGGCTGCCGGGCACCCCCTTCGCCGCCAGCTCGGAAGCCGCCTGCAGGGACCAGGACGACGCTAACCCAGCTTCCCCCACGCGTCCCATCACTTACACGGCCGAAGACGACGCCGTGCTGGAGAATTGGCTGCGGGAGAACGTCAACACCACGTGGCACTCCCTCGGCACGTGCCGGATGGCGCGGGCGGAGATGGGGGTAGTCGACCCGAGACTGGGCGTGTACGGAGTCAGCGGCCTCAAGATTGCCGACATGAGCATCGCGCCGCAGAACGTGGCGGCGAATACGGCCAGCACTGCGCTGGCCATCGGCGAGAAGGCGGCTGATCTCTTCATACAGGAGCTGGGCCTGGCCAAGCATTAGGGTAGGTGAGCCAGCCGTGCAGGGCGGCGCCCGTATCGTAGTGTCTGTATCGCACGTTTTCTTATTCTTCCCTTAATGGAACTTATAACACATAATGGGCGAGTAGCGGGTGACTCTGCTACCTGATCTGGTGCTGAATATCTCTGGAACTTCAACAAGTAATGACGTTCGTTACACTAGGTACCTAACCTAGTGCGCGAAAGCTGCGTCGACGCGGTCTGGGTGCTAGATATCGCGTCAAATGCATATCCATTGGTGTATATAGTCTTACTACATACGGCCCCGTTACAAGAGAAACCCCGTCTCCTTCAAGTAGCCCAGCACTTCTTAAGCTGTTCAAGTCTTGTAAAGACGGCATCGTGTGCCCAACCCCTCCGACGCGTCCCAAGCGAATACCGACTCCCTAGGTATGTCCATTTAGCCTGAATGAGATCCAAGACGATGGGAACCTTGGGGGCTCAAATATCATGCGCAGTAATCTACGCGATGGAACGGCAAGAAGTCTAGTTCTGAACGTCGCCAAGTATCGAGCCAACAACACAAATCCGCCAGTTCACATCTGCCTTTGACACCAACGCCATACAATATACAGCTTCATGTTCAAGGAAAGCCTCGAAGCTGACTACTGGTGGCGATGATGACAGTGGGGCTCTTACCATACTGATGGCCACACGGCCGACCGGTGCAGAATTCGAGAAGTCCTTGTTACGGAGCAGGAGTCGCGACTGGGGAATACGACAACGGATCCAAACCAGGCAGCCAAGACGGTTGTGCTCACTCTGCTTCTGGCGTCTATGGTACCCAGGAGGAAGCTGGAAGGCTTTGAGTCTTCTGATCGAGTCGATCATGCCGTGCTACTGGGGTGCGTCGGCAGTGACACCAACTCTCTATGGACAGGAACCCAGATCGATCAAGACGATTGGTCTGAAAGGAGACGCCAGGCCCGTCGCCGCTGGCGCCGTATACAGTTGGTGATTGGTGTGATCGAAGAGGCTATACCGGCCTGGGCGAGTTGCTCACCGTGAACGACCACGGATGCTGGTGAGTGGTGGCCTGGCCTTGCCCACAGTATAGCTTGGCGTCAGCAGACGTTCTGCTTATGCAGCTCGGCTCGTCGAGTCGTTGCCCATGAAGAGAGGAGAGGCAAGGTGCAGTTCGCCTAACGGGCCAAGACCCCATAGGTCATGCAGATCCCCAATCCCAGGATAGCTACCCCAAGTTTCTGGGGCCGGCAGGACATCAATAGACCCCTGCTACTACTCCATACCCCAGACTCACAATAAGGGTCTCCGTATGGTCACAATTCGTGCAGAGGAACCATGCAATGGGCATGCGAGGCGTGCCAGCTGTGCAGTAATTGTGGCCTAGAGGCTATGTTGTGGTTCTTAATATATGAGGGCTGGAGTATATCAGATGGTGGTGCCGTCATTCTCAGCTCACTCTCCATGATATCAGCAAAAGATAACCGCTCGGTGTGCTCGAGTCAACGGGCAACACCATTACTCGAGTTCGTTCTACTCGTGCCTGTTTGTTCCGAGCTATCTTCGACACTTGATTCTTATCAACACCAGGAGTTCATCACGAAGCCACAGCAAAGATGGTAACCCTCATCAAAAATGCTTAAACAGGTGTCTCCGACCCTATCCTCACGCGTCTCGCGAACAAGGACAAGGTCTGCTGGTACAAGAAGCCCAACTTGCGTTTGCTATACCTCATGCTCTTCCCGACATATATAGGCATAGAATTGACCTCCGGGTTCGACTCACAGATGATCAATGCTCTCCAGATCGTGCCTTTATGGAATGCTTGTGAGTTCGAATCTCTGCTCTGTATGCGTGACGTCAAGGCCTCTTGCTGACAAATGACGGATGAGTACAGACTTTGATGAACCTGATGGTGCGCTTAAGGGTATCATCTCGGCCGCGTACTCGCTTGGCGCCATTCTCTCGCTGCTGTTCATTGGTATCGTCAACGATAAGTTCGGGCGTCGCGGGTTTATCGCTAGAGGTTCATTAATCATGGTCATTGGTGCCCTGATCCAGGGTCTCTCTGTCAATAGTAAGCAAGGAGTCGTTTGTATACCTAGCATCTAAGTCACTGACTGGTTTGTTCAGCCGGCATATATATTTTTGCGCGTCTGGTTCTTGGGTTTGGGATTCTTACGTGCATCGTTTCAGGCTCCTCTTTGATCGGAGAGCTTGCTTACCCCAAGGAGCGTCCTGTCTTGACGTCGCTTTTCAACGTTTCATACTTCGTCGGCCAACTCTTAGCCGCCGGGATATGCTTTGGTACTAACAGCATCGCCAGCAACTACGCGTGGAAAATCCCGTCGTGGCTCCAGATGTGCCCTTCGCTGGTGCAAATCGCCTTTATCTTGTGAGAGCGCCCCTACTTACAACCTCGGACTGACGACTGACGACTGACCTGCCAAGTTTCATCCCCGAAAGCCCGAGATGGCTGATCACCAAGGAGAAGAGTGACGAAGCGTACGCTATCCTGGCCAAGTATGACGGTGAAGGTGACCACGAGTCCGAGTTCGTGAAGGCCGAGTTTGTACAGTTGCAGACTACCATCAGCATTGAACTAGACCATTCCAAGAAATCGTACAAGAACCTTGCAGCGACGAGCGGAATGAGACGACGAATGTTGATCAGCGCAGCGCTTGGACTCTTCACTCAGGTTAGCAATCTGGCTACCCACCCTGTGTATGATTCGATAGCTAACTGCAAATGTCTTATAGTGGTCTGGAAATACCCGTATGTGTCTTCGATTCAAGCTTCCACCTTTCTTACCTGTTGCCGTTTTCTCTGACACCCTAGATTGTAGTCATATCGTACTACCTCAGTGATATCTTGGACATGATCGGCAAACCCGATCCGATCTTCCAACAGCAAATCAACGTAGCTGTAAGTGATCCCCCTTCATTGTTAGGATGTTGGAACAAGTATGAGAATCGCGCGGACCCCGAACCATAGCATCTGTTCATGGGGCAAATGTGCAGCGTCAGCAGCAAGCAAACGGAAGTTGACTGCCTGCTTCTTTGGAATTTCAAAAGAAAAATGAGAGACGGTGGGAGTGACAGCGGAGTGGCAGACCGATTGGCAACCGGCCACTATGGCTGCCAGGGCACACGGGGGACAATGGCAGGCATCTGCCCCGCAGCCCAGACGAACGGGATTTGAATGAGGATCACACTATAGTTCCGTCGCTATCTGCCAATGGGTTACATACCCTCGTGCTTTTACTCCAGTTCTCGAATTAGACCGACTGTATGGGTGGCCCGCATCTGCCTGCGTATATCTGTTACAAACTTAGCGAAGTTGCGTAGCGAGGTAGACGCTATGCAAATGATTACGGACCGATCTGATCTCCCAGTACCTCAAATATTCGCATACGAGGTTGACGAGCACAATCCCGTTGGTTTTCCTTTCATCCTGAGGAGCTATATGCCAGGAAATACTGCTATGGATGCCGCGGGCGGGTATGAGGTACATAGAGGCCAGATCCCCTTACCACACTGCCAAAGATTATATCGCTCGGTGACTAAATATTGAGTTAGTCACCTTTATATTATCACTCATGTGCGGTCATTTCTTGCAAAAATAACCGCCTCGCATTCATACTGTAATACAGGGCTGAGATGGTGAGGACTTCAAGACATTCTAAGACTGACTAAACATTACCCCTTGCATATATGGTACAAAGTTCGTCTCGAGGTCCCTTTCTACTCTGTCCATTCCTATTCCAATCTGCGCCATTCCACATGTCGCTCAATACTGGTGAGCTTGCTAGCCAACAGGAAATCAAACTCATCCTGGGCGCCCTCTTGGCCCAAGCAAGATTTCAGTCTTGTTGGCCACTTGTCAACAGTTGTGTGGTCACTCTTCATGGCGACATGCAGCTTGCGCGGTATCTCGTGGAACTTCTGCTCTGCTGTATATCTGGCGGACAAAAGTTCAATAATTGCAGTCCTCTAATTACACATTGCAGCTCTGGCATGCGTGAGCGTGCTCCTTACCTCTGAAAATACTCTTCGGCGTCGAGGAGGATGCTCCGCGAGTCCCAGACCTTGTAGGACTCAGCGCCCTGTGGTGAGATAGCGAGGGCCATTGGCGAGATTCTAGGTAGATACGCCAGTAGCGGGCTCACCCAGCCCACGTCGTACTTTCCGCTTGACGCAAGGCTTTCGTCAGCCTTAGCAATCTCCATCATGGCGTTCAAATAGAGGGTGAGGATTGTGGCATGGGAATTTTCCTCTGGCGTTTGAAGCAGAGGAGATAGCAAGGATAATGCCTCTCGGGTCCCCACGTAGGCCTGGTCGGTTATGTTAGAGACCTTTGCCCGCTGTCAGTCTCGTTCCGTAGGACTACGTTGATGAAATGCGCTTTGCTTGGGTGCCGCACTCACTTCGATTCTCGCATACTTATGCTTTTCGAGATGGGGAGGGAGCTTCCTCGTGTCCATATTATGCAGCTCAAAATCGACATGAAGAGCAGAAAAGCGGTAGAGGTAATTTATGAGTTCGTGGCGTAAGTACAGGAACAGCTTCCCGTATTCATTGTTTGAAGCGGGAGACGCCACCTGGCGCACCTCCTCTGGAGGCCATCCACTAAGGGGATCCGCCTGGTCGCACAATGACCAGGACATAGGCGTCTGGAACAAGGTCCTGTAGTCTTTGATTAGTATTGGCATATGAAGCATGTAAGAGGGCAGGATAACTTACGGACTCGGCAAGTCAAAGCCGCTTCGAGGGTGTCCGAAAGGCAGGAGCAAGCCGTCCTGTCGAAAGCGCTGCTTGGAGAGGCGCATGAAGGGTGTCACGTCCTTGTAGTACCAGCGGTCTCGGTAGTCGGTTCTTTCGGGAGCCAGGATGACAGCCGTCTGGATCTTCCTGGCTTCCTGCGATGCCAGACCATCAGGCACATACGTTAGTCATTCAAGTCGGAACCACTCTGTCTTGTGAAGAGCAAGACGGAGACTACATCCGGACGCGAACCGCCATGACTTGGCGAGAAAGACGTTCGGGCTCTTGACCGAGATGCGGGTGCACATATCGCTGATCAGAGGTCTGACCTTGTCCTCCAAGAGTCGAAGTAGATCACTGGGTATGAAAGCAGAATACCAGAGATGGATGAGGATAGTGATCAGTGAGCGAAATGTGTTGACATACTGTGTTCTTGTGATCTTGCCATCAAGGGCAAGCACAACGCCAACATTGTTGAAATGCGACGCGTAGCTGTTGGACCGTCCACCCCATTCTGCCTATCGAAGACACTTAACCTCGCTCGCCTCGTCACCACCGACGTGGAGACTTGCGAGGTTCTTGCAGCCAATCGCTTCCTTCAACTTGTAAATCGCTACCAACGCGACTCTCCGCCGGAGAGTGTCCAACACGTGGGGTCGATCAAGCCCACCGCACGTCAAAGAAGAAGGGGACAGTTATACTGACAGCTCTTTTGCCAACGACATGTACGATATGGAGGACGGCGGGGTCTCATGCGTCCTGGGTGAATACTTGCAATCACATAGGCTCAGCTCGATAGGTCGATCGCTAACTCGGGGATTGACCATTGCTAGCTGAAATGGTAAAAGAGAAAACACATAGATTTCCTATCGCGCATGTTTCCACCACTTCCCCAACTATTCAGCTGCCTTTCGCTCACAATGCAAATGTGGCCGGAACTTATCAATAAATGGCTTGCCGACATCCATGCCCTATGGCATCCACCACCACGTCAGCTCACCAAGTTCGCCCGGTCAACGTCTCTACCGACGACGTGTTTTCTGCCCCGATACTGCACTACGAGACGTCGACATCTCAGCGAAACTAATCCAAGACGCACGACATGCGGTCATACCATGACGGAGCATAAGCTTGGGTACCACATAATGGAAATAGCTCACCCTGGCCATCGGTATGTCGGGCCTCCGGACACCAATCCTAGTCTCTGGCCAGGGGTTAAGGCGGTCTGGTTGGCCTCTAGATCGCATCGCCCTCGCCCTTCAAGAATCACGCGTTGTGGCCTCCAGGTCAATGGGTTAAATGCAACATAGCTCACAGGAGAGGCACGGCGATAACGTGCCCGTTCATGGTGTGGAACCTTCAGTGGGAGCGTGTCTGGCCCATGTTCTCAAAAAGGTCACCAGTAGGTGACTGGGCGATCTAAGAAGTGACAAGTACGGGCATGGAGGTGCATGGCAGGCCATCATGACTAATGGGCTGTTTTCCGCGGCGCCATCCTTTGGCAGCCTCTCAATTTCGGTCCTTACCGGGGGACTCGACATCTGGATTCGTGTTCTCGTGTCGGGTAAGATCATAAGGCCGGGAGAACACCGTGCCGCAGGGTTTCCCTGTGCTCGGGTTCATCTGCATGCAACAGTGCGGGGGCGCATTTGGCTCGACGATGTCCCTCGTGCCTGTGCTTCTGGAGAAGTTCCGGCGTTTCGAAGCGCCGGATGCAACCAGGGTACGTGCAAATGTACGTTTCTTTGTCAGCCGTTGGTCTGCCCGGCTGCTATGTACGTTGCTGCTGCCAGCATCCGAGACACTGGCCCCAGGGAAGCCTCGGAGGATGGGCTCGCCTGCTATGTCCGTACCTACGTCGCCGAGGCCGATTCAAAGACTCATTTTGATCCCAGACGAGAGACCGGATTGATAAATCTCCCACAGACCACCACAATAAGGGCAAAAGTCTTCTCCTTCTATGTTCACCTCACGGTTGAAAGAGTGAGTGTGCCCTCAGCGAGGAGGGCAGATGCTGCCGTAGAAGCCGGTAGCCACGAGTAGGTCCATGTACTCCTGTGGGGAAGTCATGAGTTCGTCTAGATACTCGAGCCTGGCACCGGGCTCCGGCCGGGATGCCGGGGCCCTCGGCCAGACCATGTACCGTGCCAGAGTCTTCCGGCAGTGGATGAAGTGCGTCGGAGTCTTGCTCTGGCTGCACGAGCAGTCGAGGACGGCATCCTGATATTTGAACTTGACATGATACCATGAGAAGTTGCCGTGCCCTGAGCGGACAGCGAGGAAACGGTGTAATAACGGCCTATTAAGTACCTGCAGCTCCTTGTGATAGTGCAGTTTATATTTCAGGTCCTAGTACTTATAGCGGGCTGATAGCTTGGTCTGGGCCTTGGTCCACCACATGTCGTGCGAGACTTCAAGCTTAAGACTCGCCTCTGTTTTGATGCCATATGCCATTGGCGTATAGTCAGAGTCGAGTTTAGAGAGCTTAGAGCCGGCCTTAGCCAGCTTGTCTGCCAGTTCATTGCCCTCAACGGCGCAGTGCCCCGGGCACCACTTGACGTTAACATTGCGGACTTCAGCCTCGGCATGGAACTTCAGGTAGGCCCACTGGCAGGACACGGCGGCATTGCCGCAGAGCCCCCAGATCGCTCCTGTATTCGTGCTGAAGTCCTTTCCAGGCTCCGAGCACTTCTGTATCAAGCACGATAGAACACGGGTCTAGACAACCCTTGCTAGTGGCGAGCAGGCGCCCGCCCTGGTAGATCGCATAGCCGTATCCGACGTGCATCCGTTCCTTCGAGCCGTCTGAGAAGACCACCACATCATGTAGTGGCAGAGCCTCAAACCAGGTCTTGAAGTTCTTGACAGCCTGCTCCTTGTCAATACCTCTGGTTGGATCAATCCTGCAGCCAGGTATGAAGCACAGCGGCACCAGTAAGGGCCGCTATACAGTGGATAGCAGGCGAACTGTTAGTTATAATTTGGTTTTAGGGTGTTGGAAGCCGCCTGTACCGCGGCCCCATATAATTGCCGGGAGTTTGATTCACTTAATAAAGTGATGGTTCTTGTCTACAATATGTAGCCTGAAAGCAAGCCGCTATAGCGCTGCATCGAGTGCCGCCTCCGCCGTGGGGAGGCCAGCGTCCCTAAAGATGACGTCATTCAGTGTGGTCCGCCAGCACGGCAGTGCCACCCGTGCCGCCATCGTGATGGATTTCTACAGGGTGTCAATATGCCACCTTACACCAGCGCTAACTTCAGGCTTGTCTGCCTATGACTGGTTGCGTGGCGGCTTCTTCTGTCCGCCGTAATAGACTTTTGAGCCATATAGCGCCGTGGGGAAGACGCAGGTGATCACAGCCTTTCGTAATCTGGACGCCAGGGGTCCGTATTTGGTGTTGGCTAGGTTTTGTATATGCCGGGATAGCAGCATGATTTTGCCAGCACATTTCTGAACATGTCGCTTGAGGGTAAATTTCTGATCAATCCAAACCTCCAGCCAGCGTAGTTGCTGGCTCCTTTCCGCTACCCTCGGGTTCTTGGACAGGGTCGATAGTGAGACGGTCACCTACCACCATAGAAGGGTTGGAGGTATCTCGGCATCTAGTGATGTGTACCAGCTCGCATTTCTCAGGGGCAAAGAAGACCTTGTTCTCGTCTCCCCACTGCATGACCTGCTTGAAGTCCTCTGCTAACATCTTAGCGTTCCGCTGCAGTGACTTTGATATCCTGCAGAAGAAGAGATCGTCGGTGTACCCGAAATGGAGCTCCGGGTCTTGTAGCAGGAGCTCTACTAGGCATAGCATGTAGAGGACTGGGGATCACGGAGAGCCCAGGGGGGTGCCGCACTTAATGTCCTTGAAGTCCATGGAGACACGTTCAAGCCGGACTTTGGCCCTCCGCTTTTCAAGAAAGGACTTAACCAGCTCAAGGCAGGCTAGGGACCAGCCTTGCTTCCGCATGCGTTCTAGCAGCCGGCGCACTAAAACCGCGTCAAAGGCACCCTGTATGTCGACTGTGGCGAGAAAGACCTTGAGTCCCTTAGCAAGTGCCGCTTTAACCTCGTGGGCGAAGGACAGAACGAGGTCCATGCATGACCGTTTAGGCAGCGTGCCCCCGTGTTGGGCATTGAGGATACCCTGAGAGAGCGCCGTCCAGGCCATTCGCTTTATTAACAGCTATTCTAGCCCCTTGCTAAGGCAAGAGAGTAGTACAATCGGCCACTAAAATCGGACCAAAGAGCGGTCCTTTTTCCCGACCTTAGGGATCATTGACACCTCTGCATCTCGCCAGGCTGCAGGGAAGTGCCGTAATTGCAAGCAGAGCTCAAAAACGTTGCACACGGCGTCCTTGATGTGTTCCCAACAGGCCTTGAGCAGCCTCACCATGATCCCGTCTACGCCGGGGGAGGTGCTGGTGACCCCGACAGTATACTGCTCGACCTCTTCCAAAGACACCGTGGTGTCCCAATAGAGCTTGGCTTCAGAGGGCTCCCACCCTTCCAGTGGATCATAGTCCAGGTCGTCGTCATCTGAGAAGCATGCCAGCACCTCTTCTGCCAGTACTTCAGCCTTCTCCTGGGTGGACTCAACTACCCTGTCGCCCACCTTGATCGGTAGGGACTTGAGTCAGGCACCTAGCTTATGCCAGCCAATGATCTTGTACAGGTCCTTGTCAGTATACGCAGAGTGGATGATCTTCCGCCGGTACTCTCGTTTGGCTTTGCGGACCACAGAAAGGAAGGTGCGATGCTCCTCTATGAACTCCATCTGGTTGTTGAGCCTGGTAGCTTCCGAGGTTCTGTAGATGCGGTAGGCCTCCTTATAGTCCTTGGTCCACCAGGGGGCTCCCTTATCATTGCCTGTGGCGGGTATGCTGACAGTGATGAGGGCCAATCGTAGCACTTCTGTGAGCTTGTCTACATAATTGTCTAAGTACCGCTTGGACTTGATGTCCGTCCGGTCAGGCATAGAAGCCATTTCTGTCTGTATAAGGGCAGAGAAGTGTGGTAGGTTCTTTTTCTTAACCTTGTAGTGGTAATGTTCTAGCAGTTCGGTCTCCTAGCCGGGGATAGTAGTTACCAGGGTATTGTGGTCTGATCCACTGGCCAGTTCCTGGCACACCTCTGTCTTAATGAAAGGAATGTTAGTAAGCGCTATATCAACGATATGACCGGCGTGATGGGTAGCTTGCCCTGGTATACTTGTGAAATACAGGGCGTTGTCAGTTATCCACTTTATCACGTCGGTCCCTCTATTTCGGCCTTCCACTTCGGGCTTAAACATGGGATGGTAAACATTCAGGTCTCCCATAATTAAGAAATTAGCTGGTTCTTCGATGCTAGTGAGGTAGTCGATCATCTCGTCAGAGCGCGGTGACCGGTAGATATTGAGCATGGTATACCCATTGACATCCAGCCAACACGCGTCTCGGGTGCTAATAGGTCTCTTCTTTTGGGCCTTGACCCTCCTCCCCTTCAGCACATACGTCATGACCCGTGGGCGATCCTGAGTAATATTCCACGAGTCTACTGGGGTATATGATTCGAACCCCGGGTGGTTCTGTGTCCTTGTCCCTGGGCCCGTCCAAGGCTCGTTGACATGGATGACATAAGCGCCCCGCGCCCATCCGAGCTCGAGAATAGTGTTGTGCTGTGGCATCCCCTTGCCTGCGTTGTACCAGATCACACATAGGTCAGGCGATTTGCGTTGCTGGCGTTGTCCCTTGTGGCGGTGCCGCCCTTTACCAGGACGTTGGCGTCCTGGTATTATTCTTCAGGGAGTTCAGGTTATTTGCGGGTCCAGCCTGCAGGTACTGCGAGGGCAGCCTTGCGCTAGGAGCCTCGTCGTAGCCTTGGCCAGTCCGGTTGAGAGGCCTGAGAGGACGGCTCCGGGGCCTGTGACGGTCCCGGGGCGCTCATCTCAGTGTCTCCGTCCCCGTCAACTGAGTATCTCTCTAGGGTGGTCCCGCCGGGAGAGCTGGAGATCGTGCTGGCCGCTGATGACGGCGAGTGGTTGGGCCGTGAGCCGGTGCTCAGTGCCCTCTTCTTCCCCTTGGCAGTGGCGCTAGGGTTGTGAGGCTGCGCATGGATGGATGGATGGATAGATATGCAGGTGGAGATGCTGCACGGTAATTCTCCCCGTCACGCCGCGTTATGGATGCCGCGCATTGCGTCGCATTTTCCATATCGGTGTAGCTGTGATAATCTTGTTGGCTTTAAGGGTTTGTAGTTGTGGACCATATGTACCAGTCAAACGATGAATCAGTTTCCTGACCGGTGTCGCCAAGCACTTGCCATATACGCAAACAGCTCACACGTGAAATCGATTGGGAGGAAATGGGATTGGATAAAATGACTGACAGAAGAAAACCAATGAAACATTATGAGTCTCGTAGATTTCTAGGATGCACATATAAACGCTTATGTTCAGTTTTAGTAGGCGCCTTATCTTTTTCATAATCTACCTCACTCCACTTTTGCGTTCCTGCAGCATTTCAAAGCGATTATCTTGCTCAAGATAAACACATTCCGCCATCATGTGTCAAAAGATCAAAGTCACCATCGACTGCAAGCATAGTAACGCATACTATGTGCGTTGCGATAACGCACCAATCGACCCATGACCAGCGAATTGGGGTACTGCCCCTTAGCGCTCAGTGTTGCTACAACGCAGCAATTTGCTCCAGGCTACTGCGGGGGCAATGAAGACTGCCAAAGAGCGTTTAACAGCAAAGAGTGGCAGTGCCACCGGTGCAACACTACCTACGCCGGAGGCAAGCAATGCACTAACCCGGCATGCCATCAGCACAAGCCTTGCATACGCTGCCTCCCTCGTCCACAGTGGTGTTGCCAGTGCAATGGGGCTCTCTACCGTGGCGGTTCCTGCCACTTCGATCACAAGTCGTGCAATCAGTGCAGTGACCAATGAAAGAGGTTGGTTCCAAGTTGCCTGTACTCTTGTGCATATGAAATGAGCGGGGGCTTACCATACCCCGGCAGCACACCACTGGAGGATCTACGACATGGTTGGACAGAGGTGAACCGAGACGGAAAGCGACATTAATTTCATTAGTGTCAGGTTCACGGGTCCGGATCGGGGTCTGGGCAGAACGCGGGAACCACGACGTATTGGAAGAGGTCTAGGACGGCTGGCTACAGTGTAAATCTAAATACCCCGTCTTGGGGTACCTGATCCCAAGCATCCCGATCCCAAGTGGCCATCTAGCCACATCCCGAATCCTTCATTTGACAATCAGTTTATCAATTTCATTTTGAATGGCACATATCAGCTATTGAAGAACCAAGAATGCCCCTTGCGTTCTTTACGATTCCATCCCAAAAACTTTCTGGGGTTTTCATACCCCGTTATCATGCCCCCTTTTTACTTGATAAGTCACTCTGTCGGCACAGTTCCAGGCGATTTGGACGATATTAATTTGCACGTTCATTGTTTTGGGGCCATCTTCATGATCACATATGCAAGGAAGAGCCTTTCCGCCTCGCCTACTGCTCTAGAGCAGCATCTCGACTCCCTTGAGAAGTTCAGGGCCGACTTCAACAACATTGACGAGACTACCGATATCAGGCCGTTATGTCGTAGCCTCATGAAGCCGTTTGAGTCGTTAATGACTAAGCTGGCGCCATCATCGACCTCCACAAACCTGTCCCTATCAGACTGGGGATACAAGCAAACGTTTGCTCTCGAAGCAATGGCTGCAAGCGGCGACATGATGCTTAAGCCTCGTTTCAAGGCTCGTCGTGGTTGGAACTATTACCCTCTCGGCCAGTACCTGCGTCCGCCTCACGATGCCTTCACGAGTCGGCTGCTAAGCAATTGGGAGCCCAAGCAGTACTCCTCGCTTCAGGTTCAGATCGCCCCGCCCGCGCCAGGCCTGCCCGCCGACCTGCATCCATGCCTCATTGGCCCGACCAAGGTGCTTGTTGAGGGGATCGAGTGTTACTTCAAGGAATGGAGTTCTCAAGCGCGCCCTAAATGCGCGACGGCCCATGAGCTGCTGATGTACAAGAAAATAGACGTTCTGGCGGCGGACGAGAAGCTCCCGGCCGGCCTGCGCGTCTCCAAGCTGCATGGCGTGGTCATTGACGATGACGATGAGATAGCACAGCGTTACGACCCGAACAGAGGCGACACCTCGAAAGAATACCCGGACCCGGAACCGTACTCTGGTTCGGATACTGATTCGGACTCGGACTATTGTGAGCTCGGAGGGAAACGCCTTGTCGGCATCCTAATCACGTACATCGACAATATTGGCACGCTGGCGGACACAGCGCCTTGGGCCGACTGCGACGACGCTGATCGGAACCGCTGGGCCCGCGATATCGAAGCCCTTGTCACAGATCTTCACGACGCGGACTTGGTCTGGGGTGACGCCAAGCCGCACAACGTCCTCGTCGACCGCAAGAAAAGAGACCTATGGCTCATAGATTTCGGCGGTAGCTTTACCCGCACTTGGGTCGACGAGAACAAGGCCGACACCAAGCAGGGAGATATGCAGGGTGTGGCGAGGATCCAGGAGTGGCTGGCCAAGTGCTCCAAACAGCCGATCAGTCGCATCTCTAGAAGTTAGTTCCTTTATAACGGTGCGATATTTCGGCTCTGTTGCTTAGGCATTGTTAGGTGCAAGCGAGTTGAGATTATTTAGTGTTTGAAGTGTGTCCTGTTGTTGTTCTTCTTGCTCTGCTTCTTCCACCCGGGCGCAGGCGGTGGTCGAGCAGTGTGAGGGTTTGGAGGTCATCGTCGGTGTCATTGCGGTTCGCATGGTCGGCTGCTGCTCGTCGGCGTTTAGTCATGGCGGGTAGGAAGTCGGATCAGGGCGGGAGGAGTCTGACTACGGCGCGATCGACGTGGTGACAGCAGCGGCCACAGCACAGTGGCATGTTAGGCGGGTTGTATAATGACTGCTGCTGAGGAAGCCAGTTGACAACGTGGGAATCTGCTGTTCGAGCGAGTGCTAGCTCAGGCTTCGAGATTGGCTTAAAGTCGCAACAGAAAGAGATTGGGTGATGATAGCAGAATAATTGATAGCCGCGTAGATAATGAAGGAAATAGAGGGGATTGTCGCCAAGTGCCACTAGGCGGAGGAAAATGAGTTGTCAAATTATTTTACGCGACGCGGTGACGCGTTTGGCAATCCCCGCTATCAGATCGGTGGGGACGATGGGAAGGGATAACGATATCGAAGCGGCAAAGGAGCCCCACACCGCAATTCCAGGATCCGGATTGCTTCGCTCGTTTCGTATCCATGGTCCAGATAGTTGTTACCACGGCTTTCGATCTTGACCAACTGATCGCAAACCAAGCAGGAGGCGGGAAAGGGGTTCGGGAGGCATATTAACAAACACAAGAAGAAAGGCATATTTGCCCAGTCGTTCCCATGCCGCGAGTGTCCAAAGTGCACTACGGTAGACGGTTTCGCGGCCTGGGTCGAACATTCGGCTCAGCGACACGGCGGATGTTCGGGCGAAGACCAAGCACACTCATCAAGTCGTGTTGGGATGCTGGAGTCATGTACAGTACACTGCAAGCGGTCATATATTGTTTGTGATAAATGGCAACAATGGCTTCCAAATCCGGCCATGGTCCAAATTTAAACGACATCGCTACGAAATTTAGATGTATACGACTAAACGCGGACGCCGACCGCCCGCCCACCTCACACGGCATTGCCGGAGAAGCTATTGTGAAAACCCCGGGCGTACAGATCTTTAATAGCCGAGCATCACTCTACTACTACATAGTGCCTGGCTTTCTTGCCGCCTGCCAATCTTTTTACCCGGTTATAACTTCTCAGCCGGTTCCCCCACGGTTGTCAAGTGAATCCAGGAATTTACTATACCCTTCTATCGTCTGCTCGAGACCGGCCATACCGAGAGAGAATGTGCTAGGAGGACCTTCCTCAACGTTCCACAGTGTCATTAGGTAAGTATTGTAGGTCCGGATCAGTGGTTGGACATTGTCACGCTCCTGCTTGATAGCGGTGATAGCTTCGCATCGACCTCATATGTTCTTGAGCGTCAGCGCGGGAATTAGCACTAAGCGCCGTCGAGGAGATAACACTGATCACGGTGTCGTCACTACCCGAGCATCTCGACAAACAGCCAAACCAATACATGAGATCTCAAACGCTTTGGTTTCAAAGGTCAAATCTGGTATGACGAGATTCATGAGCAACACAACAAAAGATACTTCTCCGGAAATTCAAAAAGGTGTCCGAATATTGGAAGAAAAGTGTCGAGAGCTAGCAGGGGATGACGGGAGACTCTACGAATCTCTTCTCCACTTGGAGCATGAGTACTTGCAACTGGCCAAGAGAGCTAAGGCTGAAAGCAAGCGACGAACTGGCTCTATTCTTCATGCCTTCGCCAGATCCTCTACTTGAAAGGAAAGTGTCCCAGAGATAGACGAGCAAGCGCAACACACATCATATTTTCAGTTGTGAACAAGCTCCTGCCCACGGAAGGTCCCATTGCCCCTGTACCTAGTCTCCCTTCGTGGCGACATGGCCTACCCGCAGCTATACAAGGTTATCGCCTGGCACAAGCTAGGTCGACGGCTCAAGTCCCCGCCGCTCAAGGTGGGTGATCGCATGGTACAATCTACCGAGGAAAAGGCAGAGGTGCTGCGAGAAGAGATCCTGGGCCGCTTCTCGAGCGCAGCCGACCTGGACTACGATCCCCTAGAAGGCTGTCAAGAGTCGGAGGCAAAGCTCTACTGGGAGACGTCGGCTACAATGGAGGAAGTTGAGCAGTATACAATAGGGGTATCTAGCACATCCCCTGGTGTAGACGGCATCACGATACGCCTGCTCAAGGCGTGCTGGGAGCATATCAAGAACGCTGTACACGGGGTCTTTGAGAAGTGCTTCCAACTCTGCAGAACTTGCCTTACAGCGCGAACCAAGCTATTTGAATTTGGGTATATGCTCTGAAACTAAGCATTGGGAACGACGTCGGCACCATCCCTCACCCGGAGGATGGGGGACACGATGGGAACCGCTGCTTAGATGCAGTGGCTGTTTACGAACGAGATCTGCTAGCTGGGCAGCTGTATGTATATATATAGTATGAGACCTAGCCTGGCACGCCTGCGCGCCCTTCTGGAGGCCCAGGGCCGCCGCTAGCCTCGCCAGACGCCCAGGCGGGCTGGCGAGCTTCACGGTCCCATGCCGGACGCCAGCTAGACTTGGCGAGCGCGGACTTGCACGTCTTCTTATGTACTGGCCAGTGGTCCTTCTGACATTGGGGCCCGCAGTACTTCGCAGTCGGTTAGCTGGCAGACATGGTTGATGGCCGACCTCCTTGATTGAAAGGTGGCTGATTACGAAGATACTCACCTGAATCAGTTTGCAATTGCCGCAAGCGAGTCTACCTTCCTTGGTGCACCCGGATGCCCCTGCGGTCCAGTTGCCACATGCTGGTGGCACGACGGGAATGGTCTCCATGTTTAAACAGGCTCTACGATGGCATGAGTGGGAGAGCTGATGGTCAACTCGGTTCGCGGTCTGAGATGTCAGCTCGATACACAGAACTAGGCCACACAACGCATTGAGGATGTAGGCTGCAAACGTAAGAAGAGTTTTCCCAGGCTGGAAGCCGTTTGCTCTTGTCAGACAGTATGCAAGCCGTGCCGTGTAACGTTGACGTGTACGTCATGTATGCACTGCATTGTGGATGTATACATTCGTGCGACCATCCGTAGAGTACCGTAAGCAATAACAAGCGACAAGTGACTGGAGGCGCCAAGCGAGTCCCTGGGAGGTCGCATTTCGTTTGCAGGCTGGGGAAATGTGACTCCTTTGCTTTGTGCAAAAACAAGGAGGGAGGAGACGTCATTACCAATATAGATCTGCCATGGTGAATACATGACGTGAGGCTGATCCACCACTATATCTCCAGAGCACCAGTAGCTAGCTTTGAGACCATCACCAGTACACACTCGAATGGCTCGCCACGTTGCTCAATAGATCCCCGTTCTTCAAATCAACTGCTGTTCCCCGTGCATTGTGATCCCTTACATATATATGATTCACAGAACCCGCTACCAATATCATCACATTACGTCCCTCAATTACTTCGTGCCGTCGTGAACCACGCTCGTGTCAGCCCACACCGGTAACTTCTGGCATTAAAGGTCAGCTCCGTGTAGACTCAACACGCCCGGGTGGATCGACATACTCTCTTGATGTCTACTTGGAAGAGTAGACCATCGTCGCACAATACGCTGACTAGCGTTGGAGCAGTGTCGGACTCTTGGACGATACAATCGAGGCTTGGGCGTTGCCGTTGTGGAATTCGGAACGTAAAATCTCGTTGAGTATGTTGAACAGTTCTGGGCGTTCTTTAGGCGTGAATTAAAACCGGCTGGTTTCCGCGGACTCTTCGACGTCCTTTACGTGGTCGGCCATCTCCTGCCACGTCCAGCACCTGATACCGCTTTGGGCTAGACCTTGCTTTTCGACGCCTGGCTACGCGGTCCGAGATATGTAAAGCGCTTCCTTGAAAGAGCAGAAGACATGATCGGACGCGGGCCTTGGCGCTAAAGCCTTGAGCGCCGGAATCGGGAGCTGGAATCCCCTCTGCACATGGGTCGCGGCATCCTGCGGGAGTGTCATAATTGTAGATGAGTGAGTGTGAGACGGTGGGTGTCATTTCATTCCATGGGGCGTTGGCATCCAGTTGTTATGTACATCCGACGACTAGCGGTGGAAAGACAGCCACGTATTGTCTCATTACATCAAGCACCCAGTACCTGGCATGTTCCTCGCAGCCGACAGCCTGACTACGGGTGACCAAGCTTCTCCAACTCCGATTATCCTTCATATGGTGCATCTTCACTATGTCTGATGTACATGGCAAGTCGTCTCCACACCTTTCCGAAATGGGAAGCCCCAGTCCTGTACCGCATGCTAATATCCTTGCACGGCAACCGTTGGTCGTTCTCGATCGACTTCCTGGAATCGCTCTTCAACAGCTTCGTGTCATAGCCGTAGATGAGTACTCGCGCATTGGGTATATTCGCGGGCAGGTAATCTCGCAGCCAGATGTCGTTACTTTGATTGATTGATTGATTGATTGATTGTATTTAACGCGGGGATCGCTCCTCAGTAGTGCAAACCATGCCTCCCAGAGCCTCTGCATTACAGGGTTGTGGAGGTATCAAGATAATAAGTACAGTCAGTCCCGCTCACGAGCCCATCCCCGTTGTTGAGGCTGTATGACTTTGGGGTCATCTATCTGGTCCTTTAAGAACAGCTATCTATCAGGGGTAGATTGATGAAAAGAACTTGCTCTTCTCAACAAATCTTGCCCATTCCGCGCTCCTCTCCCCCAAGTATTGTAAACAGGCTGTCCTAGGAGAGTACCTGGGCAGCGGTCAGTTTTTCTTAAGCCTCTTACAAAAGAAAATGTGTTGTGGTATTTTCTTCTCACCACAGCTGTAGTGGTCATTCGAGTCTGTATGCCCAAAACGTTCATGATATTTAGCAAAGTCGCCATGTCCAGATCTGGCCGCTAGAAGTCTGTGTAGAGTACTCCTTTTAAAAGATATAAGATCCCTGTTAGTTACTGC